TATGTTATGCCAGTTGAGCTAGATGTTTCCCAAGACTATGGTCCCCACAGCCCTCAGCCCAGTAATCTGGTCCCTCGGGGAGTATGGATGTGTCTATGGAGCTTCCATGACCTTGCCTTGGATGCCTTGGACAGGTTGTGCTGGCTTCCCCAGTATTGTGGTACTCAATAAATATTTGTTGAAGGAAGGAAGGGCACGGGAGAGAAGACGAAAAGAAGATGGATATAGGACACGGTGTTCTGTTCATGCTTTATTCTGATGAAAATAAAATCACAGGTGTGAAACTGCTTTGACTAAAAGCTACAAGTACGTTTGAGGTTGTTGTTGTAGTTATTAGGTGCCGTCGAGTCGGTTCAGACTCAGCGACCCTCCAGGACAGAGTAGAACTGCCCCATAGGGTTTCCATGGATCGGCTGGTGGATTTGAACTGCCAACCTTTTGGTTAGCAGACAAGCTCTTGGTAGGGGTATTTATATTATAACTTTTTGAAGTTTGAAGTTCTTGGAATATACTAAATTGGAGAGTATTTTCTTTCTCTAAATCATTTTTATAGCTGAATGGATGGTGCCCACAGATGAATGAGATAATCAAAATACTGACTCCTGATCTCAAAAACATTCTGAATATACTTTTAAGGAGGAGCCAAGGATTAGATGTGGGGTGAAAAAGAAAGGAGAAATTGAGGATAATTACAAGGTTTAGGACCTGAATGACAGGAAGGTGAAATTATATTAACTGAACTGGGGAATAATTAATAAGTATTTGAATGAATGAAAAATTATATATATATATAATTATATATGTATAAAAGTGTATATATATATCAAAACCTATGAAAGTGGGAACCTGTGTAAGGTGGAAACCTGTCAGAGAAGGAAAACGCAAATATTTTCCACTAAAATGAGTGATAGAAAAGGGGTAAGACTGCATCCTATCAAAGGTGGAAAACTTTCGAGACCCGGAAAAACAAGGCAGTCCTGGTGAGTTCTGACTCTCACAGGTTTCCCTATATATACTTATAGAGAGAGAAAGAGAAAGTC